ACCTTTGAAAGCAAGGGAGCTTATTGGCATTGTTTGTTAGCCTCTCTTTGAGTTTTAGAATTTGCTTCCTCTAGTGCTTTATCACCTTTAAACCTTTGGGGGCTACAGTTCCCCAAGGGTATAGAGACTTTGGCCATGAGGTTTTATATAGACTCGGAGGCTTCAGATAACACATCAGCCTCTGCTTCTTCAGTTGTTTTCTAAAATTTCATGACCTAAGTCATACTCATTCACAGAGACTTAAACTTGCTTTTCTAGATTTGAAAAGACACAAGACTTCTCACTAGATGGATAATCTTCTTTCTCTTCCTCCTGCAAAGGTTTTAAGACCATTTTCACTTGAGCCCACAGAGAACATGTCTCCACAGGGATATTCTCCCAATCTCTGTATGCTTTCTTTAAGTTTATACCTACTTCCTCCCAAGTATCTAGATCTAAATTTCCTTTCTCTGGTAACCATGGATTATACTTTTTCACCACTTGTAGAAACTTTGCATCTTTTCATTCCTTACTACTACCTTCTGTTTTTTGTTGTTGTTGTTGTTGTTGTTTTTTCAGTAAATGTGTGAGAATAATAGGATAAGTCTTAGGTTTACTTCTGTCTTGCCCCACAGTCCTCTTTAAAATATTATACTATTATTCTTATTCCTACTTATCTGCTAATCCCCACACTGGATCCTCACTTCACACAATTTCCCTGATTCACTCTACATTCTGGTGGGGTTGTACAATCGTTATATGGGGTATAACTCAAAAGAGTTCTTTTCCTATTGCCACGTGATGGGCGCCATTTGTAGGTGAAACCAGGCCACGCTCCCCCTGCCCACAACTAATCGCGGGTTTGGTAGACACAATCTTATGGTTATGATATGCAAAGATTATAGTAAAGTCACAGAGAATAATAGAGATAGGAGAGGGTAAAATAAAGAAGTCAGACACATTTCATGGTAGCATGATCACCTCACATGCTGTATCCTACAACTTTCTATCAAAATTAATGCAGACATATGTACAAAATCTCAAAAGACACATACAAAAAGAAGAAATGAAGATCATCAAGAGTCTTCCAACAAGAAAAGCCCAAGACTAGATGGCTTCATTGGGGTCTTTGACCCAGTATTCAGTGAAGAGCTGTCACCAACTCAATACAAAGTATTCCAGAATATAGAAAAGGAAAGCAAACTTTATGAAGCAAATATAGTGCTGACACCAGAACAAGGCAAAGGTGCCAAATACAGAAAACTTCAGACCAATATCACTCATAAACATAAGACATAAAAATTGTTAACAAAATTCTGACCAACAGAATGCAACAACATATGAAAAAAATAATGCACCGTGATCAAGTGGGATTATACCAACATGCAAGGATGGTTCAACATAAGAAAAGCAATCAACGTATCCCACTACATAAACAAGACAAAGAATAAGAATCACATGACCAGATCAAAAGAAGCAAAGAAGGCACCTGACAATATTCAACACATATATCTTATAAAAATACTCATCAAAATAAGAATAAAAGAGAAATTATTCAATAATGACCATATTGAAAAAAACACACCAAAATAATGGACAATATCGTGCAAAATGGGTAAAATCTGACAATTCCTCTTGGAGTGGGAACCAGACAAGGGAACCAGAACCCTGATCACCACTCTTATTCAACATTGAGCTGGAACTCTTAGCCAAAATAACTATTAGACAACAACAAAACAAAAATAATCAGAGAATACAATTGGGCAAAATAATTCTCACTATTTGCAGAAAATTTGATTTGATATTTAGAAAACCACAAAGACTACACAAAAAGATAAGATTGTTGGAAATACTTCAGGAATGTCATAAATAGGAGGACACAAGATTAACAAGCACAAATCAATTGGATTCCTGTGTACCAGGTTAGGGAGCGCTGAAAACAAATATTAAAAAAAATACAGTAGCCACACACAAGATTAAATACTGATAGGAATACACCTAACCAAAGAAACAAAAGACCCGTAAAAACAAAATTATTGGACAGTGGTTCTCAACCTTCCTAATGCAGCGACCCTTTAATACATTTCCTCATGTTGTGGTGAACCCCCAACCATAAAATCATTTTCATTGCTACTTCATAACTGTAATTTTGCTGCTGTTATGAATCGGTTGACCCCTGTGAAATCGAAAACCACTGCTATAGAACTATTACAAGAAATTAACACTATCACAAGAAACTAAAAGAACCTATACAAATGGAAGAATATCTTGTGTTCATGAACAGGGAGACAATATAAAAATATCAATACTACCCAAAGCAATCTATAAATATAAAGACATTATTATCTAAATCCCAGTTTTATTCTCTAAAGAAACAGAAAATATGTGGAAAGGGCAGAGGCCCAGAGTATGAAAGAACTCCTTAAGAACAAGGTAGGAGACCTTGCACGACTTGATCTAAAAACTTATTAGTCAAAACTTCCTAGTACTGGTACAATGACTGATACATAAACCAGTGAGATGGAATAGAAACCCTAGAAATAAAAGCATCCCCTTACAGGCAACTGATTTTCAAAAGGGCCAAAAAACTTAAATGGAAAAGAGATAATATCTTCAACAAATAGTGCTGGAAAAATTATATCTCCGTATACAGAAACCAACTCGAGATAGATTGGAAACCTAAATATAAATCCCAGAGCTTAAAAGATCATCAATGAGAAAATTGGTACAAACTTAAGTGCCCAAGTATAGGGGATATAGATACTACTAAATACAATAAAGTAAACACAATAGAAGACAAAATAGATGACAAGAAGCATTGTTAGGAACCACTGGCCTAGATGCTTTCAGTTCTCTTTTAGACACCTATCATCCCATGGATTTCTCTTCCTCCCAAAAGTATTCCCTTAGCATGTGGCTTGTGTACACTAGCAAATTATTTGCCTTTATAGAATATGAAAAGTTCCCCCACTATCATGACCCCAATTTTACCTTACAAATCCGGCTAGACCAGAGGACGTACACTGGTACAGACAGGAACCAAAAACACAGGGAATCCAGGACAGATAATCCCTCTAGGATAACTGGTGAGAGTAGTGATACCAGAGGGTGGAGGGAAGGTGTGGTAAAAAGGGGGAACCGATTATAAGGATCTACATATGACCTCCTCCCTGGGGGATGGATAACATGAAAGTGGGTGAGGGAAGACAATTGGACAGTGTAAGATATGACAAAATAATAATAACTTATAAAGTATCAAGGGTTCATGAGGAAGCGGGGAGTGGGGAAGGAGGGGGAAAAATGAGATGATATCAAGGGTCTAAATAGAAAGCGGATGTGTTGAGAATGATGAGGGCAACAAATGTATAAATGTGCTTGACATACAATGGATGTTATGTATGGATTGTGGTAAGAATTGTATTAACCCCCAATAAAATGATTAAAAAAGAATATGAAAAGTTAAGTGAAATGAAGGAGTTTATATATTACTAAAGTGACCACAGTCATCTCACTTGATTCACCAGATATTTTCAATCCTGTCCTTGTAAAGTATGTCTTTTTTTTGGATACTTTTATTGGGGGCTCTTACGTTTCTAATCACAATCCATACATTCATCCAGTGTGTCAAGCACATTTGCACATATGCTGCCACCATAATTTTCAAAGCATTCTCTTCCCACTTGAGCCCGATATCAGCTCCCCAGTTCTTCCCCCTCCCACTCCCACCCACCCTCCCTCACGAACCTCCATAAGTTATAGATTATTATTTCCATATCTTACATCATCCTCTGTCGCCCTTCACCCACTTTTCCATTATTCATCCCCTTGGGCGGGGGTTATAGATTGATCCCTGTGATTGATTTCCCCTTCCTCCCCCCACTCTTCCCTAATTCTCCTGGTATCTCTTCTTTCCTTGTTGGCCCTGAAGGGTTTATCTATCCTTGATTCCTTGTGTTGAGGGCTCTTGTCTGTAGCAGTGTGCATGCCCTGGTCTAATCCTATCTGTAAGGTGGAATTGCGGTCATGATAGTGGGGTGAAGGAAGCACCAAATAACTAAAGGAAAGTTGTATGTTTCATCAGTGCTATACTGCACCCTGACTGGTTCATCTCTTCCCTGTGACCCCTCTGTGAGAGGATGTCCAATTGTCTACAGATGGGCATTGGGTCTCCACTCCATGCTCCCCGGATCACCCCCACCATTCATCTTGGGTATGGTTTTGTTCTGGGTCCATTGTAAAGTATTTCCATCCTTACATTTTCTGTGCAAGTTAATAAAAAATGATTATGCATTTAGTAGGCCATCTGTAATCTAGCTGAGATTTGTTCCAGAAAAAAATGCCACACCAAGTACTTTAAAATCTATTCAAGTCCTTTATATTCAAATCATTTGTAATTTATTCAATTAATTTCAACTACCTCTTCTTATTTCATGACCATGCAATATCCTGATATAATAAATCCTCAAGCCTGTGTGACTTCACTTGTGCAATGCCTCTGCTATGAATGTTTTGCCTATCCTTTCTGTTTAGTAAAATAAAATGAATTTTTCAGAATGCAAACTCTGTTGACAACCTCCCTGAATCCTACCTAATGTTTTCCTGCTTGCCACACAGAAACTGCCCATCCTCCAAGAGAAATATCTGTACTAATTTGGCAAACCTTTATACATCCCATCTCTTACTGCCACTGAGTCATTTCCAACTCTTAGTGACTCTACAGGACTTCGTAGAACTGCCCCTGTGGATAGCTGAGACTGTAACTCTTTATAGGAGTAGAAAGCCTCATCAATATCCCTTGGAATCGCTAGTGGTTTCAAACTGCTGACCTTGCAGTTATTAGCCCAACCATAAAACACCAGGCCACCAAGGTTCCTTACCCACACTATATGAAGAATTGTTTTGTGTAGGTGACACTATGAGCACCTTGATAACACAGACTTGAGTTTAATAATCTTTATATCTGAGTATATATAACATTTTTAATATTTGCTGAAATAGAATGTATATTTAATAAAACTCACTTGTCATATAAGATCATGGCATCATTTTGTGCCTCCTGTCCATCATACTGGCCTTTTTTGGCAGCAAGCTGGGACTGGAAGTTGTCTGCTGCCAACCAGAACTGTAAGATATTCACAGCATCCTCTTTTTCCATGTACTAGGAAAGAAAAACAGAAAAAGAATATGAACAGCTATTTCTCATCATCTCTAATCAATAGCCCTAAGTATTAAAAGGCAAAGCCATAAACAAAAAGATCTGCCTATTTTGGTTAAGCCAATCAGCAACTTACTTAGTCATCTGATATTAAAAGGTCAAAACTATAGTCTAAAACTAAACTATTCTTTCGGGGGTAACAAAACACCATAAAGGTAGATGAAAACTCCAATAACTGAAGTACAAATTACATTGATGATGATGAATTAGTGGTTTCTCAATGGCAAACATACAGAGCAAATCAGAGAAGATATTTTATTATCTTTCCATGTATTCTTATTCACCTGAATGAATGCTAATTTAAATTTTTAGCAAAGAAAGAGGTGAAAAAACAAATCAGTTGAACAAGTATATCCTAGGGAAGTGTCAATTTGCTTGTGAGACTGTCCTTATTGGCACTTAATAGTCATTTCAGAAACTCTGGTGGCACTGTGGTGGTAAAGAAATTGGCTGCTAACCTAAGGGTTGGTAGAATAAACCTGCCAGCTATATGGGAGAAAGATACGTTACAAATATTAACAGTCCTGTGAACCTTCAAGGGCAGTTATACATGTCCTCTAGGGTCACTATATGGAATTTACTGGATGGCCATCGCTTTGTTTCTTTAACAGGTTGTTAATACAATGGTTAGCTCATCTGCTAACTGAAAGGTTGGCATTTGTAACCTATCCAGTTCCCTTAAGAAAGACCTAGCATTCTGCTCCCATAAAGACCATTATTATTTGTTATTATTCCTAGGTGCTGCCAAGTAGTTGCCTTATTGCAACCTAATGTACAACTGAACAAAACAATGCCCAATCTTGTGCCATTCTCATAATCCTTCCTATGTCTCAGCTCATGTTGCAACCATCTGTGTGAACCCATCTCAATAATTTTGTTCCCCGATTGTATTAGTCTGGGTACTTTGGAGAAACAAATCCACGGCGACTCACGTATAAGAGAG